ATGCAGCGCGTGGTTTGTTATTTAGTATAAGTGAATAGTTGAGAATGGTAATGCTTGTCTCTCGTTGGCCCAATATAATGTTTTAAGAGATCCTTAAGTTACTTGGTTATGATAAGTAAATGATTGTGTAGAAAGCCAGCAGGAAATGAATCTAATTCGTTGTCTGGTATAGTTATTGGCAATGCTGAGCAGATGCTGGGTGCTGATGACCAACTCAGAAGGGTTTGGAGGGCACCTTCAGAAAGTTTGCTACTCATAGGACCTTTCTGGGTTACAGACATAAAGGTCATCCCATAGGTAAGAACTAAGCTCAGAGCGTGAGGGGTGTGGGTTCATTTATAAGGGGTAGGCGAGGAAGAGCTGAGGCTGTTTCTTGACTTGGTGCAGATACAAGCGGTCAGTTGGATACACCAATTTGCCACACCCACTTTCCATCATACTTGTGGCCAAATGCATATGTTTACATTGGCCTTCCTACTAAAACTTCTAGCTGTGCCGTTACTGCATTTACCCCAAGTGTGATCAGGCAGCATGGGCCCTTCTTTTTGCTGCCTTAGGGAGATTGAATTTCTGTACATACATGTTAATACCTTGAAGTTAGTTTACCATGGGCAATTCTTTCTTTTTCTTTTTCTTAAAAACAAATTTTTTTTCTTATTGATTTTTAGAGGGAGAGGGAGAGAGAAATATCGATGTGAAAGGGATACATCGAGTGGCTGCCTCTCACATGACACCAACCAGGGCCGGGGACGAATCGCAACTGAGGTTTGTGCCCTTGGCCGGAATCAAACCCACGACTCGTTGGTCCATAGGCTGACACTCTAACCGCTGAGCCAAATCGGCCAGGGCTTAATGTTCTTTTCTACTTTCTTTTTCTCTCTTGTCTTTCTTCAGTTTCTTCTTGCCTTTATATATTTTTTTCTTTTCTGTCTCATTCTTTCCTTCCCTCTTCCTTTGTCTTCCTCTTAACCATTTCCTTTTTCTCTCTTCCACTGACTATCCCTGTTCCTTTTTTTAAGAGCCAAGAAAATAGTATCTGATAAGCTTAACAGTAGATGATATATTTCCAACAAGAGGAAGAGACCTAAGTATGTTTTTCTCCAACAAGTGAATATTTGCTGACCACCTACCATATGTTAAATTTAGGGGATTAGATAATCTCCATACTAAAGAATTTTTACAATTTTATCAAATTAAATCAATAGAACTCATATTTTTTGACCTTGTGAAATTTTATGAATGTGTATTTTTTTGAAAATATGTTTTTCCTATTTTTGTAATCTTTTTCTGTTAAAAATTCACAAGCATTATGACCAAGTTAATAGAATTGTAAAGAAGAGAAAGAAAAAAATAATTCACAATCCTATCTGTAACACTTACTGTTTCTATGTTTTCCCTTAGTATTTGTCAAAATATTTACATAATCTTAGCCCTGGCCGATTTGGCTCAGTGGTTGGAGCATCGGCCTGCGGTCCAGAGAGTCCTGGGTTCGGTTCCCGCTAGGGGCACGTACCCCGCCCCCCAAATATTTACATAATCTTTATGGAATAGAAATCATAGGTAAATATAATTTTGCATTCTTTCACTTTATGTTATTTCAGAAATATTTTCTTAAATGTAATTTTTTTAAAAATCCTCACCTGAGGATATCTTTTTCCATTTTTTTTTTAGAGAGAGAATGGAAGAGATGGAAGGAGGGGGGAGGGAGGGAGAGCGAGCGAGCGAGCAAAACATTGATATGAGAAAGACACATCAATTGGTTGCCTTCTGTTTGTGCCCCAACTGGGGCTTGGGATTGAACCTACAACCCAAGTACATGCCCTTGACTGGGAATCAAACCCGGGACACTTTGGTGTGCTGGCCGACAGTCTGACCACTGAGCTACACTGGCCAGGGCCTTAAATGTAATTTTGAATGGTGGAATAATACTCCAGTAATACTACACTCAGTGCAGAAGGGAAGTAACATTGATGGAGTACCTAGTGTGCCAGGCATTGTGCAAAATGTTCTACATTTGGCCCTGGCCGGTTTGGCTCAGCGGTTAGAGCGTCGGCCTGCGGTCCGGAGAGACCCGGGTTCGGTTCCCGCTAAGGGCACGTACCTCCATTGCAGTTTGTCCCCGGCCCTGGTCGGTCGTGCAGGTGGCAGCCACTAGATGTGTTCCTTTCACGTCGATGTTTCTCTCTCTCTCTGTTCCTCTCTCTCCCTGAACAAAAAAATGGGAAAATGTCCTCGGGTGAGGATAAAAAAAGAAAAAAAAAATGTTCTACATTTGTTTCATGTTATCCCCATTGTAGTTATATGTGATGAGTGTTGTTATGCTCATTTCATTGATGAGGAAATTGAGACTTAGCCTAATTTATTTCAGTTTAACAAACATTAATTGAGCTCTACTGCATTCTAGGTACCATGCTGAGTCCTGGGGATTCAAAGATGAGTGGGATAGTCCCTCCTGTAAAGATTTCAGAAAATGATGGGGAAGCCAATTAGTAAAGAGATCATTGTACTTCAGTATGCTGAGTGCAGTGACATAGAAAAACACCTGACCTGGGCTAGGGTTGGTCAGGCAGGTTTTTTCTTAAACTTTAATGTGCATATGGAAGTTCCTGGGGTTCTTGTTCAAAGGCAATTCTGACTTTGGGGTCTTTAGTGGGATCTGAGATACTTAATTTCTAATAGGCTTCTGAGTGCTGCTGCTGCTGGTCCACACATCTCACTTTGGGTAGGAATATCCTAGATGATGTAGGACTTGAATAAACACCAGTTGGCCAGGTAGAGAAATGGGTAAAGGTATTCTGGACAGAGGACAGCGTGGGGAAAGACAAAGAAGCATAACAGTGTTATGTGGGTAAACCACTTATAATCTGTGGCAAGTGTTGGCAGACTGTGGCTCACTGGCTGAATGATCTGTTTTTGTATTGTCTATGTTCTAGGAATAGTTTTTATGTTTTTAAAAGGTTGTAAAAAAACAAAAGGAACACAGAATGGAAATGGACAAAGCCTGAAATATTTACTGTCCAGTCCTTTATAGAACAAGCGAGGGGCCCTGATCGGTGGTATTGGTAGGGCAGGTGGAGTGTAAAATGTGCCGCAGGCATAGTGGAAGACATGGTAGAGGCAGCAGGCATGAAGATGACCACCAGGGGATGCAGGGGAGCTTAGCCTTTCTCTTTGAAGTGACAAGGACCCAGGGCAGGGTTTAAAGGTGGTGGTCACAGGCTCAGGTTTTGTTTTACAAAAATCTCTCTGGCAGAATATAGATAGATACAAGGAAGGCGATGCTGGAGGTCAGGTAACAACCAGGAGGCCTGAACAAGGGCAAAGGGGTAGGAGGAGACGGAGTTGAAAACTGTCTTGGGCAGTTTTTCATTGTCTTTTCTCTTGACAATGAAAAAAACCTATAGGAAGATAAACATTTTATTTCATGGCCCAGCACACACAGATGCATGCTCACAAAAAGCAAAACTTGTCACAAAACAGTATTTGTCTTTATTTGTGGATAAACTAAAATATTTTTCATTTCATTAAAGAAAATGCTGGTTATAGTAACAGAAAGGGAAGTCATTTGGAAGGTAGAGGTGATTCATTCATCTTTAGACATGTTGAGTATTGTAAGATACCCAGAATTTTCAGAAAATAGCAGATATCAATTTCTTATTCAGTATCACTACCTCATTGTTTTGTTTAACTGCTACTGTTTCAATAATAGTATTTTCTACTGCTTTTCTAGACAAAGGTATGTGTTTCAGGATTTAATAAGCTTTTCTAGGCTAAGCTAGGAGTTCAACATTGTGTTTTTTTTTTTGTACAGATAGAGTGGGAGGGAGAGAGAGGAAGAGAGAGAAACATCGATGTGAAAGAGACACATCGAATGGCTGCCACCCACACGGCCAAACCAGGGCCGGGGACAAACTGCAACCGAGGTACATGCCCTTAGCGGGAACCGAACCCGGGTCTCTCCGGACCGCAGACCGATGCTCTAACCGCTGAACCAAACTGGCAAGGGCGAGTTCAACATTGTTTACAACACAGTTAGTGTTCTGACAGGAGGAGGCAGCATGAATTTAAAAAAATTGGCCCTACCCTGGCCGGTTTGGCTCAGTGGTTAGAGCGTCAGCCTGCGGTCCAGAGAGACCTGGGTTCAGTTCCCGCTAAGGGCGCGTACCTCGGTTGCAGTTTGTCATGTGGGTTGCAGCCACTCAATGTGTCTCTTTCTTTCATGTCGATGTTTCTCTCTCTCTCTCTTTTTCTCTCTCTCTCTCCCTCTCTCTCCCTTCCACTCTATCTGAACAAAAAATGGGAAAAAAAAAAAAATTGGCCCTGGCTCGTGTGGCTTATTTGATTGGAGCGTTGTCCAATGCATAGGAAGTTTGTGGGTTCAATTCCTGATCAGGGTACTTACCTAGATTGTGGGTTTGATTCCTGGTCGGGGTACATGCAGGGGGCAACTGATCATTGTTTCTCTCTCACATTGATGTTTCTCTCTCTCCCTACCTCTCTCTCTAAGATCAATAAAAATAAACAAATATACAAACAAATAAATAATAAACTAATTGGCTTATATGGAAAATTTGTAAATTGGGGAGTAACTTATACATAGTACTTTGAGATGCTTATTTAATTTGGTGCTTGGGTATTAGTTCAGTAAGATGAATATTTTGATATATTGAAATATTTATCCAAGAGAGAGTAATCAGATCACATTAATTAGTATGTGTATGATAGTGTATGTGTGCAGTTTGCTTTAGTTATGTATGCAAATATACTGTTAGAGGGTTATCAGTTTTTGATTCCTTTATTTATTCTAGGTTAATATAGAACCAGTGGCATTTATCCATACCCTTTTCCCTGAGAGTGTCATGACCTTTTAAATACCCGCTATTGGAATTATAAAAGAATATTTCTTAAGTTGACTTTATCAGTGTAAAAACTTAGATACATACCTAAGTTAAAAAGCTATTTTTAAACTAATAAATAATAACCTCTAAATTTTTATATAGATTGAGTACCTGCTTAAGAAACTGACAGAAGCCATGGGAGGAGGTTGGCAGCAAGAGCAGTTTGAACATTATAAAGTCAACTTTGATGACGGTAAAGATGGTCTTTCTGTGTGGGAGCTGATTGAGCTTATTGGAACTGGACAGTTTAGCAAAGGCATGGATCGGCAGACGGTGTCTATGGCGATCAATGAAGTCTTTAATGAGCTTATATTAGATGTGTTGAAACAGGTAAGAGTCGTATTGCGCTGTTTTTTTCTCACCTTTGAAATTTGACATGTTTGAAATAAAACAAATTTTCATCACAAAGATGAGTATAAGTCACATGTACTTTCACACTTATTTAAAACAGGAATAAAGTTTCTTACTTTGCCAGGTTTTCATTTTAAAGAATTACTGGTACATTTCTGAAGCACAGTTAAGCATTGGGAAGTTGTTATTTTGAAAGAACTGTTTAAATGATCACATTTCCAAACTGTTTTTAAAGTACTTTCTCGTGTCATGTAATCCATGCTTATTGAAAACCAGGCTGTTGGACAGCAGGTGTCGTGTAATCCCTGTCACAGTCTGCATGTGCGCGTGCAGGGCTGGAAGGATGCTCACCCACCTGTCAGAGCGCTTGCCTCTGCACTGTGGCACTTCTGTGAACCTTTTCTTCTTTATTCCTCTCTTAGCATTGGATTTATGATGTGTACATGAGGCTGTGTGTATGGTTATATATTATTTTTATAAAATCAGAAAAATACCCTTATTTTTGGAAGAAAAACTCTTTATATAACAAAATTGCATTTATCTTATTAGATTATGATGTTTGTTTTCTCAGCACCTGCAAAGCAACTGGTATGCACATGGGAAGCTTTATGCTTTAAAATGGAATTTATATATTTATTAGTGGAGCTTTCAAATTTCTGACATTATTATATTGAATGATAATTCCAATTTGGGATTTCCTTACTTTGGTCCTTTTTTTGCTCAGTAGGTGATATTGCTGTCTTGATTCTTTTCTCCTAGTGGAGCCCATCAGTAAACAGTAATTGAGGCTTAATTTGTATAGACTCTTGGTGCTTTGAAGAGGTATAAGACACGATCTCTGCAAAGAGGACTTTTAAGCCCACCAGGATGGCAGGATATAGGAGCACAGATGAATTTCAGTATGAGATAGCTTTTTAATTTTTTAAAAATAAAATTACAGTTTACTTTCAATATTATTTTGTATTAGTTTGAGGTGTACAGCATAGTGGTTAGAATCATACACTTCACAAAGTGTTCCCCTGATATTTCTGGTATGCACCTGACAGCACACATAGTTATTACAATATTACTGAGTGTATTCCCTATGCTGTACTTTGCATCCTCGTGACTGTTTTGTAACTGCCAATTGTACTTCTTAATCCCTTCACCTCTTTCTCCCAGTCCCCCAACCCCCACCCCTCTGGCAACCACCAGCCCTCTCTCTGTGTCTGTGAGTCTGTTTTAATTTTGTTTGTGAGACAGCTTTTGCTTAAATTTGCAAGGATTAGGAACTGAACAAGTAATATGATTAGAACTTAGTGTAATCATCAAATGATATAGCTGAACTAATATATATTTAGTGCTATGTATATTCTACCATAGGCTGTCAGCAGCTGTACATTATATATATGTGTACATTTTTTATTTTTATTTTTATTTATTTGATTTTTATTTTTTTATCCTCACCCGAGGACATTTTTTCTTTTTTTTCTTTTTATTTATTTTTTTATCCTCACCCGAGGATATTTTTCCATTTTTTGTACAGATAGAGTGGGAGGGAGAGAGAGGAATAGAGAGAGAGAAACATCGATGTGAAGGGACACATCGAGTGGCTGCCACCCGCACGACCAACCAGGGCCGGGGACAAACTGCAACCGAAGTACGTGCCCTTAGCAGGAACCGAACCCGGGTCTCTCCGGGCCGCAGGCCGACGCTCTAACCGCTGAGCCAAACTGGCCAGGGCGCCCAAGGACATTTTTTCATTTTTTGTTCAGATAGAGTGGGAGGGAGAGAGAGGAAGAGAGAGAGAGAGAAACATCGACATGAAAGGGACACATCGAGTGGCTGCCACCCACATAACCCAACCAGGGCCAGGGACAAACTGCAACCGAGGTACGTGCCCTTAGCGGGAACCGAACCTGGTCTCTCCGGACCGCGGGCCGACGCTCTGACCGCTGAGCCAAACCGGCCAGGGCAGTTTTTAATTTTTTTATTACAGTTTACATCCAGTTTACTGTTTTGCATTCGTTCCAGGTGTACAGCACAACGGACAGACACTCACATGCTTTACAAAGTGTTCCCTCCGATAACTCAGGTGCCCACCCGGCACCATGCGTAGCAATTAGAACATTGTTAGCTATATACCTATGCTTTACTTACATCCCTGTGCTTACTTTGTAACTGCCAATTAGTACTTCTTAATCCCTTGCCTTTTTTTACTCTGCCCCCTGTATGTTTAATATTTAAATGTCAGCTGTTCTTGAACAACCTTGAAGGGCTATAATGTGTGATTTTGCTGAAGTAAAAATTTGAATTATACACCTTTGAGGCAGATACATGGGCAGGAAGTACAGAGTTGTAAGTATGAGCATAGAAGCTACACGTAGAAGCTAGTGTCCTAACAATTAGTTCAGTTCTTTGTCCGCTCATCTGGAGCACAGCTCATCCTCCAGAATAGTGTGCGATCAGGCAGTAAGGGGGCTTGGTGTCAGAAGGTGACTGGCTGAGTAAATAATACTTGGCCAAGCTGACACCTTTTAGCATTTTCATTAACTGAGGTATTAATTGAGAATCACTGTTTGATGTGTGTGTGTATGTGTGCTAAAAGGAATAGAATGAATAGTATAATGAACTTCCGTATACCCATCACCCAGTGCCGGTAACCACCTCCACCTGGTGAATCCTACCCTACCTACTTTTGCCTCTCCTGTATTATCTTGAAACAAATCTCAGACATTGCATTTTATCCATAAATATTTCAATAAGTATCCCTAAAAGATAAGAAATTTAAAAAAACCACAATGCTGTTAACATCAGGGATTCTAAAGTCTGCTATCTATCTAGCTTTGCAGGGAGGGGAGGGATTGTCTCTGAGTGTCTAAAGTTCCATGTAGGCTTTTGTCTGCATGTACTTGTGTGAATTTGACTGGGTCTGGTGTCCCTGGCCTTCATGAATGCTCAAAGGGTTCATGATCCACAAAGGGCAAGAACACTGATACTGTTCTGGATCATATATCAGATAATGGAATAGGCAAGAATATCAAGGAAGAGAGATATCAGTTCTTACAGGCATTTATATCAGATTTAATCTCTTATAGGGTTATATGATGAAAAAAGGCCATAAACGGAAAAATTGGACTGAACGCTGGTTTGTACTAAAACCCAACATAATTTCTTATTATGTGAGTGAGGATCTGAAAGATAAGAAAGGAGACATTCCCTTGGATGAAAACTGCTGTGTGGAGGTAAGAGCCCATTGTTACCTCTTTCTGGTGCTGCCCCCTGCTGCTCAAGCAGTTTATCTTCCGTGTGGCCTTCAGAGCCTTCAAATAATCTTAAAACTTACATTTCCAACATAATACAGGCATAAAATTGCAGTAGTTTCTGAACTAAAAACTAAAGATACCTGAAAAAATTTTTTTCTAATGTGAGTTTATTTTCTGTCTTATATTCATGAACAAAGTATAGGGATTAAATTGAATTTGTTTGTACATTTAAGAGATCATTTATTGAATAAAACGGAGTCATCAAAAGAAAGTGAAGCAAAAAAAAAAACAAAAAAAAAAAAACTGCAATAAAGTGTTTAAATTATGAATATACAAGAAAATCCAGGCCATTTTGAGTGCAATGAATAAAGCTGAAGAAGCTGCGAGCATTACCTTTGAATATTTTGAGTGATTCAGGATACTTTATAACTGTCAATTCTATAAAAAAATGAAGTCCTCAAGAACATACAATTTTGAGCATTTGTATTTGTCTGTATTTGTCGAAGAACATTTAAAATACCTAAGGTCTTACTCACAAACGACAGTATATTTTGGTGGATGAGATGGCATAGATATATTAATGTCCTAGGGTGTGCAGTGCCCACTAAGTGGTCTTCTTAGATTCAACTAAAATGGAGAATCACAAAATTACTATAGGCCATACCAGTCTCTTTATAAGGACATAGGTCAGGACCCACAGCTGGCCAGTAACAACATCCCAGGTGTGAGGAGAGGAGAGAGCACATTTCAGGCAGGTGTGGGAATCACCCTGGCTTAGAAGCCTCATAGCTCATAGGAGTTAATACCTGTAGGGGTGTGCTCAGGTATGAGTCACTGTGCTTGGGAAAGCCCAAAGCTTGGCATCCCCATCAGGCATCGATGGTTCTCCCTGTCTGGAAGTGGTATACTAGCCAGGGGTCATTGTTCCCATAAGTAATGTTGCCCCGGGGATAGAGTTAGTGAATCTGTAATGTGCATTTATAGATATTTTTCATTGACATTGAAGTTCAGCCAGATTTGTATAAATAATTAAGCTTGAATTTAATTTAAATACTTAAAATAAAACCTTAGCCCTGGCCTGGTAGTTCAGTTGTGGTAGCGTCGTCCCGATACACCAACATTTCGGGTTCGATCCAGGTCAGGGCACATACAGGAAGCAGCTAACAAATGTATAAATAAGTGAAACGACAAATCGATGTTTCTCTCCCCCTCTCCCTTCCTCTTTCTCAAAAAACTAAAATCTTAAAGAACTAATTTAGCTTTCTGTTTAGTCTTTGCCTGACAAAGATGGAAAGAAATGCCTTTTTCTCATCAAATGTTTTGATAAGACCTTTGAGATCAGTGCTTCAGATAAGAAGAAGAAACAGGAGTGGATTCAGGGTAAGGCGACGTTATTATTTGTCACATACTCGCTTGAGAGCTCTGGCTTTCTGTTTTTAAATCGCATTGAAGATGCTAAGATCTTATTTCCTCATTGTCTGTGTTATTTCTGGATGTAACATGGTGGCTTAGAGAAAACAAATCAAGAGGAGTTTCCAAATTTTTAATCCATTTTCGAAATGATCTTGTGGGAAAATTGTAAACTGGACATTTTGAGTTTTATTTACTCCTACTATTTGAAGAGTATGGAATTTCCCATTAACAACCGAAGAATTTTAAAGTGACCATCTTGAGTTTTGAGTAATATGTAAAATAGAAGAGGAAGAATGGAATAGCTTTTGAATAATTTTTAAGATTGGTTATTTTCACAAGAAAAGTATTATTCCAAAATTAATAAAGAATGAGACACTCTACCTCATGGGGAGATTTTGAATATGATATTCTTGGACATAGGTATTTAACTGGGACCCCAATGTTGGTTTTTTTTAGTCCATCTGCCTGCATGAACTGGCCCAATGACATGCAGGAGCAGGCGTTTGCAGTATAGAAAGAAAGAGTTTAATACTGAATGACCAACACGGTGGTAGAGAGCTAGTGCTAAAAACCAGTTCCCCCACGGCATGTAGTTACAGATTATATAGGGCAAAATCACTAGACAGGATTAGGGGCTTCAGGGTCGTGCTGGGAGCTGATTGGTCCAAGGTGAGGTAAGGGTAATAAATCATTTCTTCAGGTCTTGAGGACAGTCTGAGGTCTGCGCAGGCGTCCCTTTGTCTGGTCTCATGGAAAAGTAGCCGAGGGGTCTCTACTTTAGGGCTTAGGAGCTGCAGCATAATTTAGGGCAAGATGTAATCTTTAGCCTGCCAGTGGTCCAGCCCTTGTGAGCATTAGTCAGATCCGGGCTGTTTTCTGCTGCCTCGGGGGTGCTGATTATCTGGGGAAAAGGCTGGGTCTCTGAGTACTATGTATTTATATAGAGAGATGATTTCTGGAGCTGGGATTTAACACTACATTTATCAAAGCCATAGGGACCCTCGGTTTCAGGTAGGGAAATATTATATTGAAAATTGTGGTCATTTTTGATGTGATTTAAGAGTTTGAGCAAGCACAGCTACGTTCCAATCTCCCCTGAGTCACGTGGGTTGAGTTATGAATTCTGTAGCTGCTTTCCTCCTTGGCATGGGACCAGTACAGCACCTTCCTCTCGGGCTTGTTGTGGGGGATAATAATTAAACCATGAAGGTATACTCGCATGGTTTAAAATGACACATCATTGTGGAAATGTTTGTGATCGATGGCAAACGACCTAAATGCTCATGAACTGGGAGATGGCTGGCTAGATGGTGGCTCAGCTTCACAGTGGAGGGTGCAGTCCTTGTGTCTGGGGCTGCGTGTTCTGAGATGGGAAGCTCTTCCAGATAAATTAAATGAAAAAAAAAAACACAAAAAACCAAGGCCCAGAAGAGTGTGTTGTGCCACTGTTTGTATCAAAAGAAGGTGGAGGATGTATATACATATTTATTTGTATATTCTTAAACTACCTTCAGAAAGATGCACCAGAAACCGTTCGCATTGGTTGCTGGCGGAGAGGGGAACCGGGTACCTGGGGACAGAAGTAGGAGAGAGACTCCCCCTATGCCCTGTCATGCTATTGAATTTGAACAAAAGTGTTAGCTATTAAAAAAATTAAATTTATGTAATTGAAATAATCAAGAAGAAAATCAGATTTTATATAAAAATTTGGTAATGCATGTAAATGGTGTACATATAGGAAGTATTCAGTAAATGGTAGCTACTGTTAATCATCTCAGGAAGGGGTGTGTGTATAGGGAGCCAGTTTCAAAAACTAATCACAGCAGGTAGCAAATCAGATGTAGGAACTTTGAATCTTGGTCCTTACTATGGCTTAATCTCATTTCGCCTTTTGAGAAGTATGGAGAAGGGAGTTGCAAGTGTTATAAATTCTTCAAGCGTGTGTGCTTTTCCCGAATCAAGTATCTCTTTAAGCACAGATAATGCAGTTTTGAAATTTTGGAATTTTGGAGCTGGAAGGGACGAGAGATCATCTTCCTCATCTCAGAGGAAAATGGTGCTGCAGGAGATGGTGTGAGGTGGCCGAATCAGAACCCACCGTGGGTCCTGTCTGGTTTCTTCCCACTGTGCCATTTGCATGTTAGGCTTACAAAGAATAAAGGGTGTTTCCTGTTTTTTCTCCCACCTTTCACAGCCATTCATTCTACTATCCATCTGTTGAAGTTGGGCAGGCCCCCACCGCACAAAGAAGCCCGCCAGCGTCGGAAAGAACTCCGGAAGAAGCTGCTGGCTGAGCAGGAGGAGCTGGAGCGACAGATGAAGGAGCTCCAGGCTGCCAACGAAAACAAGCAGCGGGAGCTGGAGACTGTGCGGAAGGTGGGAGCAGACGCTGGGCGGGAGGGCTCTTTGAATCGCTGCGGCCACAGCTGCCTCACTGTCCAGCTTTGGTTTGACCAAGACCGGGTTACTGCAGTTTCAGGGAGGTGTTTTCAGTGAACATCTGAAAGTTCTCAGGAAGTATATCCGCACCACGTGAAACACCCTGGTTTTCTCAACCCCAAACGTATGAGTGTCACAGGGCAGCAAGGACATTTCATTGATCAGAAAAGCGTATTTATAAAAATGAAGCACAGTTGAATTTTGTCAGAGAAAGATGAGAAATTTTATTCTCCTAAGATGTCAAGGTCACTTTTTCTTATACTTTTAAAATCTTAACCATGTGGTCATGCAATCTCAGAAATAGCTGTTTCTATCTAGCACGTATACTTTCTTTTTTTTTTTTTTAAATCTTTATTGTTGAATGTATTATAGATGTTTCTCATTTCCCCCCCCACTGACCCCCTCCTCCCCACCCCTATCCCCCTCCCGCCTTTTCCCACACTGTTGTCTGTGTCCATTGGTTATGCATGTAAGTTCTTTGGTTTATTTCTTCCCACCCCCCAACCCCCTTCCCTTTGAGGTTTGTCAGTCTAACAACCAATTTGTACTTCTTAATCTCTTCACCTTTTTCACCCATTTCCCCAACTCCCCTCCCATCTGGCAACCATCAGAATATTCTCTGTATCTATGAGAATGCTTCTGTTCTGCCTGTTCATTTTATTTGTAGATTCAATTGTCGATAGATATGTATTCATTGCCATTTTGTTTGTTCATATATTTTATCTTTTTCTTCAAAAAGACCATCATTTCATATAATAATGTTTTGGTGGTGATGAACTCCTTTAACTTTTTCTTGTCTGGGAAACTCTTTATATGGCCATCAATTCTAAATGACAGCTTTGCAGGATAAAGTAACCTTGGTTGTAGGTTCTTGCTTTTCATCACTCTGAATATTTCTTGCCACTCCCTTCGGGCCTGCAAAGTTTCTTTTGAGAAATCAGCAGACAGCCTTATGGGAACTCCCTTGTAGGTAACTAGCTGCTTTTCTCTTGCTGCTTTTAAGATTCTCTCTTTGTCTTGAACCTTTTGCCTTTTGATGATGATGTGTCTTGGTGTGGGCCTCTTGGGGTTCATCTTGTTTGGGACTCTGTGCTTCCTGGACTTGTATGTCTGTTTCCTTCACCAAGTTAGGGAAGTTTTCTGCCATTATTGTTTCAAATAGGTTTTCGATTTCTTGTTCTTTCTCTTCTCCTTCTGGCACCCCCAAGATGTGAATGTTGGCATGCTTAAAGTTGTCCCAGAGGTTCCTTACACTATTCTCATTTTTTTGGATTCTGTTTTCTTTTGCTGTTCTGATTGGGTGTTTTTTTTTGCTTCCTTATATTCCAAATTGATGGTTTGCTTCTTGGCTTTATCTACTCTACTATTGAATCTGTGTAAATTATTCTTTATTTCAGTTAGTGCCTCCTTCATTTCTGACTGTGCATCCTTCATTTCTGACTGGTCCTTTTTTATGCTCTTGAGGCCCTCACTAAGTTCACTGAGGTTCTCACTAAGTTCATTGAGCATCCTTATAAGCAGTATTTTGAACTCAGCATCTGTTAGGTTGCTTATCTCCATTTTGCTTAGTTCTTTTTCTGGGGTTTTGTTCTGTTCTTTCATTTGGGACCTGTTTCTTAGTCTCCTCATTTTGGCTGCCTCTCTGTGTTTGTTTCTGTGTATTACTTAATGAGTGGTATGGGGCTAGCTGAGACCAGATGCTGCTTGTTTGAAAGAATTTAGGAAAACCTGAAGCAGGATCCAAGACAGACCAATCCTATGTAAAGCAACTGGCAACAGCTTGGGTGGGCCTGAAAGTTGGGTGGGGCGAGGCCTCAGGGAATCACCAGGGCAGGGCTACCAGAGTGAACCAGGTTGCTGGAGTCCCAGATATGGTGACTGTCTGCTGTCCCAGGGAAGGGCTCACCAAAGGAACAAAGGCCTCTCACAGCACGTTTGTCCTGGAGAAAGCCCCCTCTCCAGCCCTCGCTCCAGTGCCAAACAGCTCAGTTCTTCCCTGTATGTCTCTGGTGCCCCTCGAGCTGCCTCCCCTCCAAGCTTAGAGGGAGTGAGTCTGATAAGTCTGTGCGCGGGCTCTTTAAGAAAGCTGCCTGGGGCTCCAGCCGCTTCAGCCTCCTGAGCCTCAGTTCCCGCTGGTTTTTCCAGCCAGAAGTGATGGGGACTTCTCTTCCTGGCACTGGAACCCTGAGCAGGGCGCCTGGTGTGGGACGGGGACCCCTCAGTCCTCAGGAAGGACCTTCCCAGCCGAGGTGTCCTCCTGATTTTTAGCCTCCACACGTGGGTGTGGGACCAGCCGGTCCTCCTCCGCCCCTCCTACCAGTCTTGATATGGCTGCTGCTTTAATTCCGTAGTTGTAGGACTTCCTTGATTTCAGGCGGTTTTGAGTGATGGTTGCTCTGTAGTTTAGTTGTAACTTTGACGTGGTTGTGGGAGGACGCGATACCGCGTTTACCTACCTGCCATCTTGACCGGTCGTCCTCCCAACACGTCTACTTTCTAAAAGCAGGTCCTTAGGTCTTGCTGCTCTTGCTGCTCTTCTTTCCAAACCACTCCTGCATCTCGCCTCTGCGGTGGTGTATTTTCTGTAGAAACCGCTTCACAGGCTCAGCTGCGCTCCTGCAGGACGAGGTTGCTGCTTCCTCCAGCACTGCACACGGCAGCAGTGGGTGTTATGGGAATAGGCTCTGGGCTTGGTGTCCTTCGTTTATAACTTACAAACGTTTGAAATGGGTCATGCATACAAAAGAGTATGGAATATGTGTATACAAATAAAGCGATATTCCTGAAACTTAACCCAAGTAGAATATTGCCAATATTTTAGAAGCTTCTATGTCCTCTCTTTCTTTTTTAAAAAAATTTATAAACAGCAAGTTTGTGATTTATATATAGTTTTATGAGTCTTTATACCTGCCTAGATTCTTGTAACTACCACAGACAGAATACAGAACAGTTCCAATGCCTCAAAGAATTTCCTCACACTGCTCCTTGTACTCAGACCTTGCCCTCACCCCAACCCCTGGAAACCACCGACCTGTTCTGTTCCGGTATTTTTGCCTTTTCACATTGTTGTATACATGGAATCATTCAGTATGTATGCTTTCAAGACTAGGTTCTTTCACTTAGCATCATGCCTTGAGACTCATCTGTATGGTGTCCTTTTAAATTCTTTTGAACGTGGCCTCCCAGCAGCACGGAGATGTCCTGCTCGGTTACGTGGGTGCCTGCCTGGGTTGACAAGGCCTAGCCACTTAGACAGCTTTCCTGCTAGCGTTACAGAATTGTCGAAGCAACTGATTTGGGATTTGGGGATAAGTGTTGGAAAATTATTACAGATCCCTTAATAATCTTTAATTTGCTTTTTCTTATCAAGAAATAAAATTCTCCAGTTTTTCATAGAAGCATTTTATTTATTTATTTAATTCTTTATTTATTTATTTATTTATTTATTTATTTATTTTTATCCTCACCCGAGGACATTTTTCCATTTTTTGTTCAGGTAGAGTGGGAGGGAGAGAGAGAGAGAGAAACATCGATGTGAAAGGAACATATTGAGTGGCTGCCACCCTCACGACCGACCAGGGCCGGGGACAAACTGCAACCGAGATACACGCCCTTAGCGGGAACCGAACCTGGGTCTCTCTGGACCGCAGGCCGGCGCTCTAACCACTGAGCAAAACCGGCCAGGGCAAGAAATAAAATTCTCCAGTTTTTCATAGAAGCATTTTTAGAAAAATACTGCTCCAGTGAATATTTTAATCACCTGGAATTATGTTGCACATTTGTGAATTTTGTATGACTTGCTAGGCCTTAGTTGATGCAGAGGAAAAGAATAAGAGATCTTGGTGTTTTTAAAATAAATTAATAGATTTCTTTAAGGGATTTACCCAAATAATTTTTTTAAAATATGATTTTACTGATTTTTGGAAAGAGAGGAAGGGCGAGGGAGAGAGAGCAGCATTGATCAGGCCAGGGCTACCCAAATACTTTTTTAAAAAGACTTTATTTTTTTAGAGCAGTTTTAGGTTCACAATAAAATTGAGAGGAAGGTACCGAGCTTTCCCTTATGCCTCCTTCCCCAGCGCATGCATAGCTCCCCATTCCCAATATTCCCTACAGAGGGGTGCGTTCGTTACAGCTGATGTCTGCAGTGACTCAGCACCCAGAGCCATAGTTTAGGGTTCACTCTTGGTGGCCCACATTCTGTGGGTTTGGACACATGTATAACAACAGATACCTACCATCAGGGTGTCATTCAGAGTATTTACCATTAGAATGTCATTCAGAATATTTTCACTGTGTTCTATCTGTTCATCCCTCCTCCCCAAATAATTTTTATTTCTACTTTTGTTTCTTTAAAAATATAACCATTTGATTAGGTAATACAATCTTATGGTTCAATATTTAAAAATACAAAAAGGAATTCAATGAAAAGATTTCCTTTTCCTTCTTTTCTCCCCTCTGCCTAGCTTCCACACCTTGTCTAAGGTAATCATTTTTTATTTCTTGTATATCCTTCTAGATTTATTTAATATACATAAAGAAAATATGAATATACATTCTTATTTTTCCATTCTTTAAACACAAAAAGTACATACTCATCCTCATGGTTCTGCAACTAGTTTATTTCACTTTATATACTAATTTGAGATCTTTGCATGTCAGTATAAAAAGAACTTTTTTATTCTTGTTTATGGCTATATAATACTATTAAATGACTGTATCATTACTTATTTAACCAGTCCTTTATTGATGAACATTTGAGTTGTTTTAATAAATAATGCTATAGGGAATTATTTTGTACCCATGTTCATACATGTTCTAATGTATCTATAGAATAATGTCAGAAGTGGGCTGGATCAGAGAGTATGCATCTATAATTATGAAATCCAGGTTTATGTAACAGCCAACATCTCAAATCTTGCTATTTACTCTACCAGAATCAATAATGTTCCAGGGTTTGGCAATTAAGTACTCTGGCACAGAAATGTCACACTTCACTTCTGTTTGCAATATTTTGACCAGAACTAGTCATATGTTTCTGATGAGAAGTCAGCTGTCAGTCTTATTGGAATTCCTTGTGTGTGATGAATCATTTTTCTGTTGTTACTTTCAGGATTTTCTTTTTGCCTTCATCTTTCCAGTTTTACTATGATGTGTGTGGGTGTTAGATGTCTTTGTTTCATCCTAGAGTTGAACTTCTTGGATGTGTAATGTTTTACATCAAATTGGGTAACTTTTCAGCCATTTTTCCTTCAAATATTTTTCTACTTCTTTCTTTCCTCTCCTGATAGTCTCATTCTGTGAATATTGGTATAATTAATGGTGTCCCACATTTCTCTGAGGTTCTGTTCATTTTTCTTCATTCCGTTTCCTCTCTGTTCTTCAGACTGCATAATTTCTCTCAGTCTTTGATAGATTCTTCTTGCAGTCCACATGTGTGTATTAGAACCTCTAGTGACTTTTTCATTTCAGTTATTGTACTTTCAGCTCCAGAATTTTCATTTGGTTCTTTTTATAATTTCTATCTTCTTATTGATATTCTCTATTTGATGCATATCACCATACCTTCTATTGCTTCCTCAAGCATGGTTTCCTTTAGTTCTCTGAACGTGTGACTTCTTTGAAGTCTAAGCTAAATCCACCATCCGAGCCCTTTCAAAGGCAGTTTCTATTGCCTGCTCTTCCCTGTGCATGTGCACACTGTTCCCTTTCTTTGTACATCTCATACATTTTTGTGGAGAACTGGACATTTTAGATAATATGTTGTATGCACCTGGATATGTCTTCCTTTCCTCCCCCAATGGCTTGTTGTTTGTTCATTTATTTGTTTAGTGACGTGGCTGGACCATTTCATTGGGGTCTGTTTTCCTCACAGAGTGAAACCTGTGACTGTTCCTCAGAGGAGTGCCTGGGCAGGTGTACCCTGTGACTGTTCCTCAGAGGAGTGCCTGGGCAGGTGTACCCTGTGACTGTTCCTCAGAGGAGTGCCTGGGCAGGTGTACCCTGTGACTGTTCCTCAGAGGAGTGCCTGGGCAGGTGTACCCTGTGACTGTTCCTCAGAGGAGTGCCTGGGCAGGTGTACCCTGTGACTGTTCCTCAGAGGAGTGCCTGGGCAGGTGTACCCTGTGACTGTTCCTCAGAGGAGTGCCTGGGCAGGTGTACAGTGCCCCGGGATGACGGGATGAGTGTGTCTCTCTGTTAATCTGCCTCTGTTGGTGTCATATCCAGCTATTAGAGCTCCCTAATCTCCAGTGATTGCTCTATTGTTTTCATTTGCCCCGCAGTCTGATGCTATGCGAATACCGGTCTACAGGCTGTCTTGGAGACTGCTGCAGGAGGCCTCTTCTTTGCTATCTTGGCCAGAATCTTTTTAAAAAAAATCCTCACCCGAGGCTGTTTATTGATTTTTTTGAGAGAGGAAGGGAGAGAGAGAAACCACTGATGTGAGAGAGAAATATTGATTGGTTGCCATCTGTACTTGTCCCAACCAGGAATCGAACTTACAACCTTTTGGTGTATGGGACAATGCTCCTACCAACTAGGCCACCCGGCCAGGGCTCAGCCAGATTCTCACTGTCAAACTTCTAGCTGGCCTGTGGTTTAGTTTGTTGGTCTCATGGAGCTACAAGCCTCTTCATATTCCTTACCACCCAAATGTCCATTGTTTTTAAGAGCATCTTTAGGCTTGAACTTCTCACACTGTTTAGATAAAGTTAGCTCTTTTGGGGAGAGCTTCAGGGCCTGCTTTCTCCCTGGACAATGCTCTGGATCTGGCATTGAGACAGTGGTCTGTGTCTCTTGGAATGATACCCTGCTTGGTGGGCCTGTCCCTAGGTGGTTACCTCTTGTCTCAGTTTGTTTCTCCCAGTGTGGAACCTCTGCCCTTCAAGTGAGTTGGGACAGGGGTGCCCGTGCCTGTCATACCTGAGGTGACACTTCTACCCTATGAATGGGGGCTGGTGGAGGAAGAGAACCCCTGACCTCTTAGCCACTCTTCCCTGGAATAGGGTTTCTGCAACATGGACCTGGGTGAATGAGAAATACTGGTGACCAACCCCTCCTGGGGAGATGCCACAGCCTGGACTGTGAGCTGAGGAGGGGGAGCCCTGTGTTGTTGGTTCCATTGCCGTGGGGTAGACCTTCCTTCTCACCGACATCGTGGGGGAAGAGAAGGGGCCGACTGTGGCTCCAATGCCATAGACTCTCACTCTTACTACTGAGACTAGGTTGATTGTCATGGATCAGTGTTCTCCATTTGCTGTGTGCCCTTAGGGTAATTCTCAGAGACGAAATGGTTGTTTCACTGGGGAAGGGGCATATGGAGTTCCTCATGCCATCCTTCTAGAAATTGAGCTCTGTTAAAAGTTCTCAGGAATAATGTATAAGATGACAATACTTTACAGGAAGAGCTCAATAAATAGATCTCGAACCTCGTGAATGCGTTTACAGGTGAATTTCACTCAATGACCCCTTTGCAAAATGTTGCTCAGACTTACCAGTGTCATTCATTTGACTAATTTGTTTTGTATGTTGACTGAGAAAATTGATGGAATGGATCTAAATGTTTTTGTTTTAAATTTATGGAACATTAAGAATGTTTGGATTCTTGCATGTGTTGAAGCGTGACCATTTTTTCCCCCCAAATGCACTTCCACTGTAACATGCCCTACTTTTCTGTGGGTGGGATTTTGATCGGGTAGAAACTGGAAGAAGCAGCATCTCGGGCAGCAGAAGAAGAAAAGAAACGCCTTCAGACTCAAGTGGAGCTGCAGGCCAGGTTCAGCACGGAGCTGGAGCGCGAGAAGCTCGTGAGTCCCGCGCGGCTGGGGATGCTGCTGTGTCAGCTCAGAGGTGGCCTGGGGGGGCGGTGTCGGAGGCTGGGAGGCTGCTGGGTCAGCTCACAGAGGGGTGTGTGTGTGTGTGTGTGTGTGTGTGTGTGTGTGTGTGTGTTGTGTCAGAGGCTGGGAGGCTGCGGTGAGGCTTTTTCAGCTGGGCTCTGCTCCCGACCTGCAGTGGGCTGGGGGGTGTCCTGTGTTTGTTCGCTCATCCATTATCAGTTTATTGAGCACCTTCCATGTGCTGGGCACCATGCCAAGGAAGTAAAGGTAAAAGACATAAACCTTGCTTTTAAGACCAGGAAGTGGAAATGTGAGGGATGGGGTGATAAGTGCTGTGGTTAGGGTGACTGTAGGTCTTGGTTTGACCGAGACAGTCCCTGCCATCCTGGTATAATTATTAGGAGCATCCCTCTTCCTTCTCAGTGTCCTGGCTTTGAAAATAAATAGCTATGGAAAAAGGATGCAGAGGCTCCATGACATTTCTCCTCTGTAATGAGCAAAGAAGGAGGTTCTGAAACCGTGAGAACATACAAATTCTGGTCTGCTGCTGTTGGCAGTTCTGATTAATTTTAGAGGTTCCCATCCCCAAGGAACCCAGGATTCACGTAGCTAGCCGGTCCTCCTTCTCACATTGAGTTCTAAATGTGTGGGTGCTGAGCCCAGTGCCTGCTACGTGGATGCTCGTCGCATGGCCTGGTGACGTTGTTTGGAGTTGAGGTGGACATGCCCGAGTTGTGAGGAGAGGCCGCAGGGGAAGGCAGCCGTGCTGGGAAGGAGGCTGGGCTTGTCTCCTCTCGGCTCCTTCTCGCTGAGCATTCGTTCTGTCAGTCAGGGGTTGTCATATGATCGGTCATGGCTGTTATGAGGATAAAGTGAGCTAATACAAGTGAAACTATTTTATTTTATTTTTTTTTATCCTCACCTGAGGACACTTTTTCATTCTTTGTTCAGATAGAGCAGGAGGGAGAGAAAGAGAGAGAAACATCGATGTGAAAGGGACACATCGAGTGGCTGCCACCCGCACGACCAACCAGGGCCGGGGACAAACTGCAACCGAGGTACATGCCCTTAGCGGGAACCGAACCCGGGTCTCTCCGGACCGCAGGCCGATGCTTTAACCGCTGAGCAAAACCGGCCAGGGCACAAGTGAAACTATTTTATAAATGTCAGACACATATGCTCATATGTATGCTATGACATTTAGGATGGTCTTGTCTTTTCATTGTTAAGGCAGAGATTCAGACTCTTAAGTCCAGAAGGGAGAAACCCTAAACTCATTAGGACATTAGGGCTTGAACCCCGCCCAGGTTTGGAGGTGCCCTCGGGAGGGAGGGAGGATGGGGTGCTAGGCTGCCAGGCAAGTGCGGGAGTCATGCCCATCAGGGATTCCTCTTCCCTTTGGCAGTTGTAACTGGGGAAACGTTCATTCCTGTTAGAGAAGACTCTGTTGGTAAGAAGCTTGTAATTTTAAAATTGAAAAGAATTTAAAGAGAAATGATACGAGGGAGCAGTTTTTTCCCCTTGACTTGATTCAAAGTGTGGAGTGGAGAAGATGGAGAGTGTACTGGGGCAGGAAAATAGCACTGGGGTTGTAGTTTGTCCCCGGACTCCGTAGGTGTGGTCCTGGTGTTGGTACTGGGACTGGGGTGCTCTGTTCCTCCATTTTTGTTCAAGGACGGAAGGCAGGGCCCCCCTACCCTGAAGGGCTGCAGTTGTGGGCTGTGGCAACCCCTCAGGGTGCTGGCAGAGTGGGAGGGTTTCCCTGAGGGTGAAGTCCACCGGTGTTTAAATATGACCCTTTTGTACCATCAGATCAGACAGCAGATGGAAGAACAGGTTGCCCAAAAGTCCTCTGAACTGGAACAGTATTTGCAGCGAGTGCAGGAGCTGGAAGACATGTACCTAAAGCTGCAGGAGGCTCTCGAGGATGAGAGACAGGCCCGGCAAGATGAAGAGACCGTGCGGAAGCTGCAGGCCAGGTGCTGGATTGGTGTGCATGTGCACCTCACACGCGGTTGCTAGGGGCGACTCGCACAGCTGGTGGAGGCGCAGCCTGTGTTGTTTATACTCAGTCTGGGGCATGGAGGACCCTTGCTTCTGGGGCTAAAGACTGACCTATATCTGTTTTAGAGCAGTCTTGGGTATGTTGGATGGGGTGCCTCAGTCATATTCTAGGATGTCCCTGGACCCAGGATCAGCTCTGGTGAGATCCTGGCGTCGTCGACATGTTCCAGACCAGAGAAGGACCTTGGGTATGGAGACGGGCCTGCTTCACCCCAGAGTTGCAGCCACTTTGGGGGGATAAGGAGGAAATAAGCAGTTTTCATTCCGTCATTCAGGAGTAGTGACATTCTGTAAATAATTATTATTTGGAATCCTAGTTTTAGAAGTTTTTCAGATCTAGATTATTTTTTTCCTTAGAGCTTTTAAAGTCAGGTTTGCTATTTATGACGTCATGTTCTGCTATGAGAACTCTGAATTGCTGGCCTTTGCAGCAGCAGGGAGGGCGGGGTAGAGTGAAGACCCCGAAGGGAAATGTGAGCTCTCCTCTGGCCGTTTCTGACTTGCTTCCCCTTGTGCGTCTTTGCCATGTCCCCTGACACCGCGCATGCGCGCCCAGGGCAGCAGCTGGGCCGTGGAGGTCCACGCAGGCTTCGCCGGCTCCCTGCTTCGGGGCAGTTGTGAGGCGGCCTGGGGTACCTTTCCGTGGCTGCCGTTCTTCGTGGGGAGCAGCAGAGGAGGTTGGTTTGCCGTTTAGGTAGGAAGAGAAGAGAGGAGGTCTTGGTTGTGTACTTTGTCAACATGCCTTCAAAAATAAATAGGTTGTGAACATTTTAATTCTTTTAGGGAAAACTTATCTTCTAAATAGAAAATGAAATGCTTGGCACATTGCCTGGCGTTTACAGGCCCACAAGCATTGTTCCGCGTGCTGTGATGTTAACTAGATTCTTGGAACTGCACCCAGTTGCCGCTGGCAGTGATGTGAGTACAAGATTCACTCATGGGAAGGTTTGAGCCCGTGTGACTTTCAAAAAGAGGCAAAGGCGCACAGGATGGTTTTTGAGCCTCTTTATAGTCTGTGGTGTGTTGGGAGTTTATAGATAGATTCCCCTTGTGCAGAGAATGCACAGGTGAGCTATGATATATGTATAACTTTCCTGCAGTTTCGAGAGAGGTTGATTATAACACAGCAGAGATTTGCCCTGGCTGGTTTGTCTCAGTGGTTAGAGCGTTGGCCCGCGGACCAAAGAGTTGTAGGGACCAAAGAGTTGTAGGTACCTCGGTTGCGGTTCAATCCCCAGCCTGTGTGGGAGGCAACCAGTTGATCTCGCTCTCTCTCTATCTCTCTGTCCCCCTCTCCCTCCCTCTCTCCCACTCTATCTGAAGATAAATGAAAAAATATCCTTGGGTGAGGACTTAAAAAAATATATATATATATAACACCTCGGAGATTAGATCACAAAGGGAACCAGATAACTCTAGAAATTTATTAAAGTATTAGTTATTTTTTATTTATCGAATGAATGATCTTTTGAATAAGGGACAATTTTGGATAATAAAACTTATATTTTTTAACCAATGGTAAATATCAGAATCACCTGTATAACTTTTACAAAATACAGATGTAGGGTCTATCCCACATTTATCGAATCAAAATATCTGAGATAGGAGCCAGGCATGTGTATTATTATTTTAAAAACTCTGGCTGTGCCTGGCTGGTGTGGCTCAGTTGTTGAGCATTGACCCACGCACCAAGAGGTCGCCAGTTTGATTCCTGGTCAGGGCACATGCCCAGGTTGGGGGCCGATCCCCGGTGGGGGTAATGCAGGAGGCAGCAATTGATGTTTTCTCTCATCGATGGTTCTATCTCTCTCTTCTTCTCCCTTCTTTTCTCTCCAAAATCAATAAAGAAAAAAAACAACAACAAAAAACTCTGGGTAATTGTTTTGTATAGTCTGATTTAAGTATATAGCAAAATGGTTTCAACCTTTTGAATGCAAATGTGGCTATTACATATGTACTGATTTGTACCAATAAGCTGAAATTACTGCACAAAAGTTAACCTTTTCTTGGCGTGCAAAGGCCACTTTATGAATATAATTATTTTACTATTCTAAATTATTTTTCTTTCAACTTAATTTTGGGAACTTGAAATAGATGAACTGATGCCCTCTAGTGGTCATTTTTAAGTGAGGCGAGTCCCTCTCATTCCTGAAGTCCCGGAGGCTGGGCCTGGTTCGGAGGGTCCTTTTGTCATGATGGCTAGGGGCTTTCTCCTGCCCGCAGTCCCAGGACAGGCCTTTCTGGGTAGGAAAATCAAGGGAAGTCTTCGTGGAGTTGGGATAGAAACATTTATGTCTGGCTGTGATGACATGAAACATAATCTTAGGCGAAGGGTGTATGTCAGGGGCTTTTTGGTTAACCCTCCCGTCCTTCCTTCCAACAATAGTGAGTCATTTTTGGAATATTTGGCATCTTGTCCTTCCAGTGGGTGACCCTTTCTCTGTCAGTTTCCCTAGAGATACTTTATATAGTAAATTGTTTAAATACAAAAATTTTGACTTGATACATCTGGATCTTTTTTTTTATATTAAAATTGAAGTTTGTTTTTTCAGTGTGTAATCTGAAGGTTATCTAGCCTCTTCTGAACGGGGACTCAGAAGGAAACTGTTCATCTGACATTGGGACAACTCAATTATTGGAAAGTTCTTGAGGCTGAGCCATCATCTGCCCCTTGATAACTTCCCCCTACTGTGTCTTTGGATCTGTAAGGCCTCGTAGCATAGTTTAGCCAGGTCTGAGGTCTCAGCAACTGGTGCAGTGCCGGGCACACCGCAAGCGCCCAAGGGGTATTTTGCAAATGAGTCATTGGATCCAAATTCTACTTATTGGGGCCTCTTGGAACAACAGTCATGTGACAATACTTTTCATGTATTTGAAGGCAGTTAGGAACCAAGCTCTGAGTGAGGGCTGGGCTTGAGACCCAGCTGCTTTCTAGCCGTGTCATTTTAGAAAAGCTACTTCACTGCGCTGCGCCTCCAGTCCCTTATCTATAAAACGAGGGTCGCTGCCCGCCTTGCAGATAGCGCGTGCCCGGCGCTCAGTGTGAGGGCTGGCGTGGTCTTCACTCAGTGTGCTGGCCTCTGTTCCTCTATCTCTTGTGCAGATGAGAGGAAGAGATAATGTATGGAATGTCAAAATAAATGCTCTTGACACATTGTTGACCGCTCACGAGTTAACTTCGTAAGAAGTTTCTCAGTGTGTTGATATTAATGGGACAAACAAACAAAAAAATCACATTGGAGGGATTACTGGTCAACGGACCCTTTGGTTGATGCTCCAGTATTTCCTGAAACTATGAGCAGAATGAGGTTCGAGCAAATTCTTACATTTTTCCATCTTAGTGATAATTTACAAAATACATCTAATGAAGACAGACTATATAAAATTAGGCCTCTTTTGGATTATTTCTTCCAAAATTTCAGTCTTTGTATGTACGTAAGCAGGAGTTATCTCTAGACGGAAGTGCAGCGAAACCAGATATATTTGCAAAACGTGTTGTGCACCACTGCACGTAGGTGATTGCTACACAGTACGCCACACCAAAAAAACTACTAAAACATATAATATGTATAAAATAGAATATGTAGCAGATATGTACAAAGTTTTATTTAAATTTATTATGTATAAATAAAGTATACTGAAGCTTATTTAGATTGTTTCACTTTCATACTCAATTACGAAAAATAGCCAGTGACATGAGATAACTTCTGCATAAATTTGCCGGTCAACAATGTGTTAAAAGATACTGACAGGCTGAAATGATGGTCTTATATCATCATTTAATAAAGAAGATAGTTTAAAATGCTGACAGAACAAGGACAGGATTCATTAGAAAAGACTTGGAGTTTTACTTCCTTGTGACATGATCATCAAGAACCTCACAGACGCTCGGGCAGCCTCAGTGAATGAGAAGGATCCGGAGCAATGAGGTGACAGTCTCTGTAACAGAGAGGTGCTGGTTGTCAGCACTTTCTGCACGGTAGGCTCTGTTCTAAGTACCTTACAGGCATTATCACATTTAATGCATCAGCAAACCGTTGATGGTGGGTATAGTTCCTATACATTTTTTGTAAATGAGGAAACTGAGGCACAGAGAGGTTAAGTTCTTTGGTCAGGGGCTTGTTTGCAAACCACAGAAACCAAAGTGGGTCAGCTAAAGTAAGAAATAGTTCTTGGAAGTCCTTGCGTCGTTCACCAATCCCACAGAAAAGCAGGTGGACAGGCAGGAACCAGGGGAGGCTGAGCCGCCTAAACCACAGCCTGGGAAGGTCCAGTCAGGATGCCAGCGGCGCCATCATTGGCACTGTGTCGGTAGACGCTGCTGCACCGCTCAGTAGTGGATGTGGCTGCCACCAGCAATACACATTCTCCACAGGCTCTGCTTCTTTGTGTCAGCCACTTCAGAGTCAAAGATCCCAGAGAGCTATCTGCTCAGCCCGCCCACTCAGACTTTCAGCGTCCCGTGGCTGCGGGGGTGGAGGGCAGGTGCCCGGCCTGTGGCTCTGTGTGGGAGATGCACCCACTTTCCATCGAGACACCTGCTGGGCCAGACTCTCTAGACTTGTGAAGGGCATTCAGGTGCTGGGGAGCCTTAGCACTGCGCTGCCCGCCCCTCCCTGCTTTCACACCAGGATAAAGACTCCAGGCCCTTCCAGGCTTGTTCACTTTGTATCCCCAGTGCCGAGAAAAGCCGTGGCGGGCGGGTAGCAAAGAAACTGCGCTGTCAGACCACATTCGCAGTGTGTTCAGGTGGGGACATCACAGTCCAGGAGACAGCGAAGGGGGCACAGATTGGACCTACATGGACTTAGGGATAGGAGATGGGAGGGCTGAGGAAGAACCTTCTAGGCATTGAGGCTGCCCATAAGCAAACGGCCGGTTTGTGAAGGGGTGAGCGGCCCATCACACAGGGTATTGAGCTGAGTTGGGTAACCACCTCGCAGGGTGCTAGAGTGAGTGTTTACAGTGGTGGGGTGGGGCTGGGGTGGAGGAGTTGGGGGCTGGTCAGGTGAGGGGTGGGCGTTCTGTTCCTTTACTTCCTTTGCTGTCGCTTTTATTTTATTTTATTTTTTTATCTTCACCCGAGGACATTTTTCCATTTTTTTGTTCAGATAGAGTGGGGGAGAGAGAGAAACATCCACATGACAGGAACACATTGAGTGGCTGCCACCTGCACGACCCATCCAGGGCCGGGGACAAACTGCAACCGAGGTATGCGCCCTTAGCAGGAACCGAACCCGGGTCTCTCTGGACCGCAGGCTGACGCTGTAACCGCTGAGCCGAACCGGCCAGGGTTTTGCTGTCGCTTTTAGAAGAGCAGACGCTCTAGGTGTAGTCACTGGCCGGCGTGTGGCTTGTTGCTGACGGTCAAGCACTGGAGGTGTGTCCCATCCTGGGCTGGCATCTGACCACTTTGCTGTACTTTGGGTAAGGTTTGGGCTCTCTGTCAGTTTAGTTGAGTTTAGTTTAGTTACACACCTGTATATCTGGAAATTTTGAGAGGTAAGTTGTTATTGTGCCATTTTGGACTCAGGCCGACCTGGGTTGAAATCTGTTGCTACCTGTGCAGTGTGGTTTCCGATGGCTCCATCTGTGATGTGGATCTGACGCCTCGTGTGGGGGTTGGTGATGATGAAGTGTGTGGCAGGTAGTAATTGTTCAGTAAATGGTATCTGATTCTATTCTACTTTTGTTAGCTGCTTCTTCCCTCACTTCTTTAGTTTACTTACCAGCTTTTTCCTTCGTAACAGGTGTTTCACTAGATGAAAGTGTTTGAATGTTGTAGTAATCAGGCAGGTTCAGACCTTGGCCCTACCATCTGCCAGGCGAAGGGCCTGGTGCAGGTCCCTTAACCTTTGTGCTCACGTCCTCATCACTACAGTGTGAGTAATAATAGTACTCAGGCATCTTGTGAAGGTTAATTCAGAATACACGTAGCTCCTGGCCCCGTCCGTGGCACACTGGGCCCTCCTTAAATGTCACTGCGTTGTTTTCAGAAGAGTGAAGCAGAGTTTGGAGCAGGACACGAGGGTCACGTTGCCGGTCCTGTGGACGTAGGTCTTCCTGGCTCCTAGTCTCCTCCTGGTAAAGTGAGAGAGGCGGACTAGGTGACCCCAGATACTCTCTTCTGCTCCGAGTGTCCCCATCACGTGCTGGGCCAGGGGCGTGGCCGGGCTCCGGTGACCCTGAGCTCCCCACGTTGCAGGTTGCTGGAGGAAGAGTCTTCTAAGAGGGCCGAGCTGGAAAAGTGGCACCTGGAGCAGCAGCAGGCCATCCAGACGACCGAAGCGGAGAAGCAGGAGCTGGAGAACCAGCGCGTCATGAAGGAGCAGGCCCTTCAGGAAGCCATGGCGCAGCTGGAACAGCTGGAGTTGGAGCGGGAGCAGGCGCTCGAGCAGTACGAGGTGAACTCACCCCTGCAAACGTGTGCATCGAAGTTGTTAAAAACGAGCATGTTTTCGATCGGAAAAATGTGCTCAGCCGCAAGGAGCCGTAGTAAGAATTCTGCTTAGCGTAGGTGAGAGGAAAGCAGCAGCTTCACAGGTGGTGACGCCCACTGGTTAGAGTGCAGTCAGGAGGCAGAGATCACGCAGTAAGTCCAGCAGGGACATTTATGTGAACAAGCGTTAGGTATGACAGGATTGCCTAGGAAGGGCAAAGAGAACTCTACGGGCGTGGGAATGGCAGATGCAGGAGGCAGCCGTGCCTCCAGGCCTGAGGTGGAGCACCCAGGAAGGACACATCTGGAACAGGGTCCCCGTGAGCCCGGTGCTGGAATCAGGCCTCTGGGGGGCCGGCCTTGGCCCGTGGGATGGCAGAAGCGCTCGCCCAGGTGTGGCGCCCGCATGACTCACTGGGAGGCCGCCTCTGGGGCACTGGCCGAAGCTGCCACGGGGAGGTGCCGCTGAAACTCCCTGGGTGAGCACCACGGTGTCCCACGTGCCACAGGAGCCCCTGGGAAGAGCACAGTGGAACTGGGAAGCCAAGCCCCGTCCTCCAGTGTCCCTGCAGCACCCTCTGCTGGCAGAGCTCAGACTATGCCAGCTGGCGGGAGACTCCCTGGTGTCACAGCAGGATGAGGGAGGGTGGGTTGGAGCCGAGACGCAGGCCGCTGCAGCTGGCACAGGATTTTACCTCCGTCTGTGATTAGTGTGGATTAGGTGCTCTGTGTGACCTCAGGCAGGTTACTTAACTGCTCTGAATCCTAGTTTCTACCCCTGTAAAATGGGAGTGGTAACAGTTCCTGCTCCTTAGAGTGGCCGTGAGGGTTCAGTGAGAAGGGCCTGAGTGTATAGTACGTGGCCAGTCGTTATTTGACTCTTACACTCCCAGGGTGTTTTGCATAATCCTGAGTCTCCTTTTGTTTCAGGGAGTTAAAAAGAAGCTGGAAATGGCGACTAGTAAGACCAAGAGCTGGAAGGACAAAGTGGCCCAGCACGAAGGGCTGATCCGACTCATAGAGCCAGGTAACACCGTCTTCCCAGCAGTGTGGATTCATTCGGTTTGTGTCTTTGTTTTATTACATGTTTGAATTGTGCAAAGAAACTTCTCCAGAAACCAGGCTGTTGAGGGTACATTTTCCTGACTCACTTGCCCTCTCAGATGAGAAGGCCTGGTCCTTCCCTTCGAGGACATCTTCTGGTTGTTTTGGTGACACTTATAGATGCTCCCCAGAGAAGAAATCAAGTAGAACAATTACTATTTTGTCTGTGGGAAAATTATAATGTTAGTTGAAGAATACAGTACTTCCTACATTGAAAGCATGTTTGTCTCTCAGGTTCCAAAAACCCTCACCTGATCACGCACTGGGGCCCGGCCGCGTTCACCCAGGCGGAGCTGGAGGAGCGGGAGAGGAGCTGGAAGGGGAAGAAGGGCACCGAGTGACCGCAGCAGTCACGCGGCGGGTTTGGTGCGGCCGGGTCACTTTGTGTGCCAGACAGAAGGGACCGGCTTCGCTGCTTCTCTCTTCCTTCTACGTCCTGTTGGTCCGTGTACTGCGGGAGCTTGTTTATCTTCCTGCAAACAAGGGCTCGCATGAAAAGGAGAAAGAGTCAACCCTGTCCAGCTCTACATGGACTCTTTTTGTTTTTTGTTTTTTTGGAAAACCTCTGGACATTCCTTTGTAGCGCTCAGATTCTTGTCGGCCATCGCGGGGTTGGGGGGAGCGGGTTGGTGCTCAGGACCACCGGGAGATCGGAGCCGCGGACTGCAGTCCGGCATGTCCTCTGCAGCGCGTGTGCTGCTCCGGGTGCGCTTCCAAACTAGGCTGGCCGGTCTGCTCGCCAGGGCCCGCCGTTCCCGCGGACCGCCCGGAGCACCGCCGACGGCCAGCCGCTGCGGTGGACCTGCCGCCACCGAGCCGCTCGGTCTGTGGTTGTGCAGAGGGTGTCTGCCTGATGCACAGTGTCACTGACCGACATCCGGCTTCAGTGGCACCTTTTAAACAATGCTCCAGTCCAGATAGATACAGTAAGTCCTCGCTTAACATCATGGCCCGGTCTCCAACCCTGAGTGAAATGACGAACAGCAAAACCAGTTCTACCGCAGGCCAGTTCGGAAAAACCAGCCAAGTTTCTGCGGCATCTCATCAACATTGTAACAGAACAATGTTGAACAAAATGATGTTATTCAAGGACCTGCTGTATTTATGAATCAGAGCACATAGGCAAACTATGTAAATTCTGTTTGGAATGACATTCTGATACTAACTGAATTCCTCCCGAGATTTATCAGCTGTCGGATTGCTGACGGAACCCATGTTTCACTTTGTAGTTACTGTACAGAATACGTCAGGAGTCTGAATGCTCGTCATGATCAGGCCTTCTACTTGATAACCAGGAATATGATCATTTATGGGAACTATGTATGAAAAAAATTTTTAAATGTATTTTTTGTCATGTGCGGTGTTGAGAAGGAACAAAATATTTATAATTTCAAACATTCTTACCTAAATGTACAATTTAATATGCTGAACATTCTTAATTTTTTGCTAATTTTCCAATATATATTAAAATATTTTGTACGGTCTTTTTTAAAAATGGACTCAGTAAAAAAATAAAAAATAAATACCAGAACAACAGACATTTAATAAGTGGAGTGTGTGCGCGCGTATTTTTGTGCAGTGAGAGGGACTTTGTTTAGCAGCAGCGCCTGGAAACAGGGGGTTGGGGGTGTGGACCCCATGCTGAGCGCGGTCAGGAAGTGGCTGAGGCCTCGCGTTTGGTGTGTGATCACTGGAGTGGGAACCCTGGCCGGCGTGTCCGCTCAGCCGGGAACTGACAGCTGGGTTCTCCCTCACTGTTGCTGTCACCGCCACATCTCCTGCCTCTGCCTGCCCAGAGTCCTGTGTCTTTCTGCTTCACCAGAGTAAACTGTAGTTTTCTGTTTGGGTTGCCAAGATTTGTTTTGTTTTTGTTGCCAAGATTAAAATGCCTGTTGTGGACAAAGCGGGCCACTCCGTCCAGCTTGAGCACGTCTGGTAAGCTGATCTCTCCCTTCTGGAAGGAGAGGTCACACTGGCTGGAGTTTTTTAAAAAACTTGTCTCTACTGCATTGGTTCTCAACCAGGCATGGTTTTCGCCCCCCAGGGGACATTTGGCAGTGTCTGGAGACAGTTTTGATTGTTACAACTGGGGATGTTGCCGGCATCTAGTGGGCAGAGGCCAGGAGTGCTGCCCAACGTCCCACGATTCACAGAGCAGCCCTCGGCTGCAAAGAGTGATCTGGACTAAGATGTCCATAGTGCTGAGGTTGAGAAGACCTCTCTCTCTCTTTTTTTTTTATCCTCACCCAAGGGCATTTTTGCATCCATCTTCAGATAGAGCAAGAGGGAGAGAGGGGGGAAGAGAGAGAGAAACATCGACGTGAAAGGGACACATGGAGTGGTTGCCACCCACACGACCCCAACCAGGGCTGGGGACAAACCGAGGTATGTGCCCTTGGCGGGAACCGAACCCCAGTCTCTGTGGTTCGTGGGCCGATGCTCTAACCACTGAGCCAAACCGGCCAGGGCCAGAAGGCCTTCTCTACAGGAAGGCACGTTCTGTGGGCCAGAACACAACAGGCTCCTCGAGGCAGGGTTTCCCTTTAAGGTGTCCCACAGTTGACCCCTTGGGTGTAAATGGGGTGCGCCTGGAAGGGAGAGCCGCTGGCTGGCTCTGTGAGCTGGCAGAGCGGTGGGCAGGGGCTCTGGCACCGTGTGGGGCGTTGCACTTCAGACGCTGTAACTGCCCTTTCCGTACAGATTGAAGGAAGCTGCTCCGCATCTGTTTGAAAGGGCGATGCAGGCTGCTGAGGTGTGATGTGCAAATGCTGCTGTGACCTTGGTGTCTTCCAAGTGGCTAAGCTGAGCACAGGGAGGGCCTGTCAGGACCGCCCAGCACTGGTGAGGGACATGTGCCCGCCCCGCTGGTGATGTGCCTCGCGGAGCGCTGTGCCTGCTCCTCCTGGCAAAGCCTCCTCCGCACCCTCGCGGAAGCTCCAGCAGGGCACAGCTGCCCTAGAGGGGCGAGGGTCAGGTTCAGGTCAGGCCACATGGAAGGGGGAAGAGGCTCTGCCCAGCTTTCGCCAATTCCTAGCCGGTGCTCAAAACTCACTGCAAGAATCAGTCTTGGGACTAGTTTAAGGAATGCTCCTTTCCTCTCCCCATCTACTTCCTTCTTTATATATTCATTTCGAGATCTGTAAGTCACCCCCAACTCTGGGAAGCTACTTGGTAGTATCTACTAAAGCTGAACATGACCGCTACCTCCGGCCAGTGGCTCCACTCCCGGGAGGAGGCACGTGTCCGCCGGGGCCCACCAGGAGCTTCGCGGCACCTTTGGGATGGCCCGAACCGGAAGCACGAATGCTCCGCAGCGGAGAACAGATCAGTGAGTTGTGGTGTAGTCAGGCAGGATGCTACACTTGAATTTCACTGAGAGATGCAACAATGTGGATGAATTTCAGATATTATGTTGAGCCAAGAAGCCAAACACAAGAGAACATCCTGAATGATTCCATTTATATTAATTTCCAGAACTGGCACAGCTAATCTGTGGATTTTGAGGTCAGAATGTTGGTTACCCAGGTGTGTGTGTGTGGGGGGGTATTGACTGGAAAGGGGCACAAGTGAACCTTCTGGGACGATGGAAGTGGGCAGTGGTTATACGAGGAACATGTGTCAGCTTTACAGTCCAGATCTGTGCAGCTGACTAACCTCAGTGCCTCCAGAATGCTGCGGCCGGCCGGCCCCTACAGGTCAGCAGAAAAGGACACGGAGGGGACAAGTCAGGTCCTGACCCTTTTCTAGGCAGGTTCATTGGACCACTTGCCTCTTTGCAGGTCCTTTAAAAACATTTGGATGCAAACATTTTTTTAAAGACGTTTTTTCCCCTTTATTGATTTTAGAGAGAGAGGAAGGGAGAGGGAGAAAGAGATAGGAAAATCAATGAGAGAGAACATCGATTGGCCACCTCCTGCATGCCCCCCACTGGGGATTTTGCCCACAACCTGGGCATGTGCCCTGACCAGGAATTGAACTAGTGACCTCTTGGTGCATGGGTCAGTGCTCACCCACTGAGCCACACTAGCTGGGCTGGATTCAAACATTTTTATCTTGGGGTTTCTGTCCCCCACCACCCAGCTAGCGGGATGTCCACCCTCCAGTCCCATGCTTAGCCTCTACTGACCTTTCTGAGGTGGCTAGCTAGACCTTTGGTCCTGGGTCGTGGGTAAATTGTGGACGCTAAGTTCCAACCATGGCTAGCCTCAGATTCCTTTTCTGTCCCCACCGCATGGATGCGACACACTCTCGTAGGGGCACGTGCCCACAGGAGTGAAGGCCTTCCCACTATGTCCACCTCCTCACCAGCAGGCCACAGGGCCCCGCTGAAGGCCTGGGATGTGAGGCGTGGGGAGAGGGAAGCTTCGTTTAGCAACCCCCCTTCCGTTCAGCCCCCAGCCTGCCCCCTTCCACCTGAACCCCTCATGTCCTGCCCCTGTCAGCCCCCCTGCCTCTTCTCAGCCAGCACTGTCTGCTTAGACCAGCAGCCCTGGGCCCCTCTTGCTATGTTTTCTCTCCTCTGTTATTTCTCATGGTCTCTGCCCTTCTGATGGGTCAGCCAGGGCGTCCTGGACTAGCTCCCCTGAGGACACACTGCACGAAGACTGGTTTTGGCGGTGCCAGGGCTGCTGCCACCCCATGCTCATCTGTCCCCCCATTCTCTTCGGAAGCCCAGTCCCTGCCCACTCCGCTCAAGCAGCCTCTGTCCACCGCTGCCCACTGGGCTCTCTGTTCCCATTTGGGGGGCATCTGTGTCTGAAACATTGTTTAGAAGAAACTCACATGCTATTTAAGAAGGGCATATGGGTGGGCGATTTCACACCCGAGTCGCGAGGCCCCGCAGTCCTTATGGCATAGTTGGCGGGAAAACGGCTGAAGGGACAGAGTAAATGGCTTCTTTTTGGAGTGGCTGCCCTCACAGCCCAAGGGTGTAAGTGGGCAGCACTTGGCCTTCACAGCACTGAGTTGGCAAGGAGCTGACTTCAGTGACACGGGCCTGGGTTCTACCTTGTCACGTTGAATGAGTTCGGTTTGGGGGCGCACAGGTCACACGTGCTCTCGGCGTCACCTCTGGGGGCACACGTGTCTGTCAAGGCTTCTCCACACGGCGGAGACATACTTCACCCCTGAGGTTTCATCTCGTCTCATCCTGGTGTGTTTTCTTTAGAAAGTCATGTGACAAGGGGCTTTCATCTTGAGTGGGCCAGGCCACAAACTAGGGATTTTTGAGCCGGACTGGCATGTTCTGAGAAAATCCCCACAGATGACAGAGGCAGGTCAGTCATGCAAGACGACTGGAAAGTCCGGCGCTCTCTTTGCACCCCCACAGGCAGGTGTCACTTCCGAAGTGTCCTGCAAAGGCAGCTATTCGACACGTTTGAGTGGCTCAGAGAACAAGTCAGGGCCTAGGGCGGGGGCTTCTGCGCAGGAAGGCTCCCACCTCCCGGTCACACCAGCCCTTTGGGGGCCCAACCAGGTTGAAGTGGATCTCAAAGGCCCGAGACCGCAGCCTCCCAGTGGAGCCCAAAGGACCCCAGACTCTGCTTTCCCCTCGCGGATGCTGTGGCTTCTTCCGTGGTCATTACAGCTTTTCCGCTGTGAGGCCAGAGTGGTTCACTCCACCCCCAGGGTCTCACCCGGCAGCTGTGGCTCCCACGGCCAGCCCCAGCGTTCTGACCAGTTCCGCCTCAACAGCAGGAGGGCGAGGCCCCGCCAGCACCGCAGCTCTGACGGACTTTCTCAAAGGCAAGCCCGGAGCGCCTTGGCAGGATGTTGGCCTCATGGCTGTATTGCCAGCACATGGCACCTGGTAGGTGCTTCCTAAATGATCGCTTCTTAATGACCCCTTTCTGAAATAAGTCCCTGTCCTCAAATAATCCTGGATATAATCCTTGTGTTGTTGGAGACAACAGGAAAATAAGTTTCTGATGTGTTTGGAGCATTTCTGGTTGAGGACAATTTTTCCTTCTTTTATTTTTGAGAGAGAGAGAAAGAAGAGACACATCATTTGTTCCACTTAAGCATTCATTGGTTGAGCCTTGTATGTGCCCTGACCAGGAATCAAACCCCACAACCTTGGCGCATGGAGATGAGGCTCTAACCAACCAGGGCCAAGGTATCTATTTTTATCTTCTTAGTAGGAAAAACCTAACCATGACACCAAAAGCTGAAAGCCATAACACAGTTCTGGTATAAATGGATAAAAAGTGAAACTTTTTTTTTTTTTTTTTAAGAAAGAAAGGCAGGGAGAGAGAAAGAAACATCCATGGGAGAGAGAAATATTGATGGGTTGCCTCCCAAACCAAGATGGCCCCGGAAACCTTGGCTATTAGGAGGACGCTCTGACCAATTGAACTACCAGGCCAGGGCCCTTCTTTTCATCTTAAAGGAAGTCAGTCCCAGCATATGTGAAGGATGGACCAT